TAGCTGTAGTAGCTCCGGGGCCTTGCTTAAGGACAATAGGATCGGTAGTTGCATTAACTCCTGGGCCTTGCTTGAGGACTATAGGCTCAGACCTAGGGCTAGAAGCCTTAATCCCCAAAAGCGCCCCATCCCCCCTGTACGCTCCACGGAACTGCTCGCGCTGCTGTCTCTTCTTGCCCTGTCCCTCGGGCTTGCGCTCTCCTCTGTAGGTAGAGCGATGGTCCATGAAGCCTGCGTCCGCTAATGCTGGACGGGCAAGGACCATGAAGCGACGGCTCCCCCCGGAGGGTAGAGGGAAGTCCGCCAAAGGCGGTACTTGGGCTTCCATGGGCGCATCCCGCAGCATGATTCGGATGCTACCTGGCTCGTCATTGAGGTTCCTCTTGATGGCCCGCGCGAGGTCCATCAGGTCGGGAAACGACAGGTTGGCTGCCCAGGGTGTCGATTCCAGGAACTTCGTTGAGAGTCTCCTCCAGGATGACCTCCATGGTGCCGTGACCATCTCCGAACGCAGTGCTGTGGCCAGGGCTGGTCCTGTCGGTGGAACTTCCAGCTGCACCCGGAGGGGTTGGTGTCGGGGAGAGTCCACCACCTCTGCTGGTGTCATCGACCGATCGCCCATTTTGCCTCGTCGGAAAAAGCCAGAGCGGGAGCGCTGCGGCGTAGAACTCCTCGAGATATAGGTCTCATCTTCAGAGTTCGATCTCCCGCGGGTAGATCGGCCACGGCCTGGAGTCCCGCGACGGGTACTCCTGGGAGACTGCTGCAGGGTCTGCAGGTAGTACCCCGAGAGAAACCCCTTTTCCTGCTGATCCTGAAACCGGACGTTCCACTCCTCGACAACACACGCTTGCCCATACAGATTGCGATTCTGCGCCTCCAGATCTTGAATCCTCAGCTCCAAGGCCGCATTACGGTCCTTGGACTCTTGAAGTTCACCTTGGGCTCGCTCCAGCAGTGCTTCCCGACCACGGGGCATTCTTCTATCTCCGCCGCCAGAGGGGTCGGATGGCGAAGCGCCACTCGATCCACTCTGGTCCGGCGCCTGCGTTGGCACAGGATCGGAAGGTCCTGGTGAGGTACCTTCCTTTGGCTGCTTGTTGGGCGTACTGCGGCGCCACGTGAGAGCGCGTCATCTGCGGGTCTATCTGTGCTAGTACCCGGTTGCCGAGCTGGGTAGCTTCGGCATGGTCAAAATGACCGCGGCATCTCGCGCACTTGCCGCCGCACCTCATATCAGCCCAGCTGGCATTGGCATGGAGATGGCCAAGAAAATGGTCCATCCCAAGAACGTAAAGCCCAGCGCTGATCAGAGTGCCCATGGCTACGCTTCGGTGCCTGTTCGAAGTGCAGAAAGGAAGCACAACCGTAGGTTTGTGCCCATCGACGGCGTTCTCGATGTCCCTGAAACACGACGAAAGGATGTGGCGACCAGCTCCAGAATTCAGGATCCCCTCAAGGATTCCTGTGTGGCGTCCAGTGCACGAGCTGAGCGCCCCTTCGTTGGGGTCGCTCAATTCTCTGAGGTCGTGCAGTCGTACATTGAAGTGGCCGGTGGCAAGGAGTCCACCCAACCATCTTTGTGGTGGATTCTCTTGCGGTCACGCCCCTGAGCATCAAACTGGTACTTGGCGCCGCCCGTGAAGACGATAATGTTGGGCCATTCACTCGCCGGGCGCTCGAAGTGCACAGAGGTCTTGCTGCACAGACATCCGTTAACCAGTCTGTCATAATCGGGTACTGGCGCCAGGAGGACCATGGCGACTGGTGAAGGTCCGTCTCCCGTACCTTCCCCAGATCCCGTATGGGTACCTGGTCCAGCACACACGAGAGGCTCTGCTGCTGGGGCTCTCACCTTGGGACCTCAGGGGCCAACTCCTAGGCCTAGCCTTAGGATCCCTTAGGTGCTTAACACACTCCGGCAAGTCCTTAGGGAAGGTACTTAGACAGAGTAGTAGCAAACCCGTTTCACTGCATCGGGCTAGGGGCACGTGTGGCATGGAGCCATCATCATTGCGGATAGAACAGGTACATGAACGCATGTCCTTAATCAAACCTAGGGTGCTCTGGGCGAAAAGGCTAAGGAGGAGTGGATTACGAGCTGGGGTATCAATCTCCTGACTCTCACGTACTCCACCTAGGGTAGTACTACCTTTCTCGATGCTGAAGGGCAGCCTACGCTTACCTAGGGTATTAGATGTGGCACCTGATCCCGCAAACGACTTAGTCTTAGAGTCTACCCATGGGAAGGTTCGACCAAGGGCCTTAAGTCGTTGTTCAGCTAATCTACCCCAAGAAACAGAGTGGCACGTGGAATTACAACCTTCATCCAAAGCCCCCCGTACATGAACCTCCGAAGAACTCCACATATCTATTAAGGGCAGGTTGTCAATTCGCACAAGATCTCCGCAAGAGGTAGATCCCGCACCTGCAATGTTCCGTGCGAATAACCGAGGGTTATTCCACCTGGGTTTTGGTTTGGGTTCTGGCCTTGGTGCGGGGGCTGCTTCGGACCTAGAGGGTTCCGGGTTTAAGGCCTTAGGCTCTGAAGGTGGGGTTCCCTACCTTTGCCACGGTTAACCCACCTAGGCTTAGAACTAACACCCGCCTTGCCCAGACCCACGCTCCTCTCGGGAGCAGCTCCAGGCGATGAGCTCGCTGCGGTCGGGTCCTGGACAGGAGGTGCAGGGACCCAGCGTCTCTTGACAGGTCCCATTGGATTCCCAGGTTGGGTAATCCATTGGGGTTTCACGGCTCTTGGGGCCTGCACATATGCCTGCGCTACGTCTGTGGACCGGAGTTCTACAGACGACGCTGCTGCAACCCTTACGTCACTATTCACTCCCGTAGGGTAGAGATTAGGGTCTTTAGGGGTATTTTGTGGCTGTGCTGAGGACGAGGATCCCAAAGGATTCCCCGCCCCAGAGGACCCCGAGGGGTTCCTCTCAGCTAACTTTGCATGTGCTTCCGCGAGGATAGCATCACGCCGGCGGTGCCAGGCGTCTGCTTGAGCACGGTTTTCCTCCTCGCGGTCCTGATCTGTCAGTCCGTGCCAATGTGGCACAGCCGGGACGTGAACTGGATTTCGCGCTTGATAATCCAGGCGCTGGAGTTCTCTTCCAGCCACATGACGCACCTGAAGCTTGTTGGCTGGGGCAGAAGCAGACTCGAGGACCGTAATGGAGTCCGGTTCCTCTTCACCAGCGATCTGTTGACGAGCTCGAGCAAAAGCTTCGTCAAGTTCTCGTTGGGCTTCCTCCTCGGCGGTTTGCCGCTCGAGGGCATCATCCAACTCCTCGACGTTGTAACTCCCAGGGGCACCATCGTCCGAGGAATCTCCAGGGAAAGGATCATGAAGCTCACTGTCCGCGCGAAAGCTTTCCAGGAGAATAGCTTCGCGATAGTCAGCGTCCAGCTCAGGATCTCTGCTTCCTGAAAAGGTATCGGCCCCAAGGGGGTCCGATATGCGGTAAAACTCCGGTTCTGCGGTAGTTGTCGGCTGCTGCTCGGGAGGCTGCGGCTTCCCTTTCGCCTTGGCCTTGCCTTTTCCTTTACCTTTATGCTTGCCCGGGCTGCGCCCTCGGGCCACCATTGCAGTTGGGACAAATCCCCAAGCAGGGCTTGTGGGGCTTTGTTCCATGACGGATACAATAGCTTCACGCAACCACTCGTGCAAAGCTGCGGGGTGTATGCGTTCTTCTTGCGCCATCGCGTTGGTGACGCGATCTTGGAACACTGCCATGAGTTGTTCCACGGCCTCTTGGTTGAGGTCCGGGGTTGCATCGTCAGCCGTTAAGGCTTGTACGATAGGCAGAGCTTGCTCCGTTGCCTCGAGCAGCTTTTCAGACACAGCTTTGCGCTCGCGGTGAAAGTCTTGGGGTACTT